CGAATCAAAATTTAAGTAAAATATAGATCAATGTGTGATTATATTTTTAGATGATATATTGATTTATTTTATTACTGATGAGATTATGTTGAATATTTGAGATTAAAATAAATCTATTAAGAAAATATAATTGTATGATAAGTTCTTAAAATCTGAATTTTTGTTAAAGGATATTGCATGTATATGTATATACTAAGTGATTAAAAAAATCTCAGTGGTTCTAAATCGTGAAAACAATATAAAAAAGATCTACATCAAAGAGTTTTACAAAGGTCCATAATTTTGTTTGTCTTGCTAGGCCTTCAGGGGATTTGTCAAGGATTTTTCATAGGTAACTATTCCATTGTCCAAACTAATGAGAGAAGATTTTGATTTTGAATGGTTAGAAGAATATGAGAATAGTTTTGAAAATTGGAAAATAAATATGAAAAATATTCTAGTATTAGCTATTTCATGAAGAATATAAGGGTTTCAAATTTGCAGTGATGCATCATTGAAAGAATTGGGATGTGCTTTAATGCAAACTAGAAAAATGATTTCTTAGGCATCAAGAAAATTTAAATCACATAAGAAAAATTACCTAACTCATTATATGAGATTAGCAGCTATAGATTTTACTTTAAAGATTTGGAGACGCTGTTTATACTGAGTAAAATATATTTTTCTTGATGATGCATCACTGCAAATTTGGATGTAAATTTGTGAGTAAAATTACCTAACTCATTTTTTTATTGATTGTCAAATTTTGAAATATATCTTCACATTGGAGTTAAATTTGTGACAAATGAAATGGCTTGAGTTGTTGGTTAAATGCTATGTTATGGATGTATAATATTGTCTTGGAAAAGCTAATATTCCAGCTAATGCTTTGAGGCGAAAGTTCACATATATTGCAAGCTGGATAATTATGCAAGACTTTGAGTTAATTGAAGAAATAGATGCGGCAGTCGAAGGTCCAAAGTTCTAATGACAGAATATAAATGCCAGATGATCATGAAACCAACTTTAGAAGATAGAATTAAACATGCTCCGAAAGTTGGTGTTGAATATTGCAAATTAGTTGAATAATTTTAGATAGAAAAGTTGAAGTCACTATATATATGGTGTGTTACAAATAAGTTGCAATTATGGATGACTAATGATTCTAATTTGAGTCTAGAGATTTTATATGAAGCTCATTATTTTTATTATACTATTCATCTAGGGAGTTCTAAGATATATGAGATTTGAAAATATTACTTTATTGCAAAGGTGTGTGGAGGGATATAGTTAAGTATTTAGCTAACTGTGAAAATTTTCAGATTATTAAGGTTAAATATCAGAGACGACATCTGCTATTGTCGTTACCCATTCAAGGGTGAAAGTGAGAAGATATTGTAAAGAATTTGTTTATTAGATTTCTCAGATATAGACAGTCATAATTATATTTCAATAATAATTGACAGATTGATCAAGTTTGCTTTTATTTATTTATTTTATTTTTTTACTATTAAGCTGACATATTTAGTTGAAAAGCTAGCAAAAATTTATGAGGAAAAAGTTTGTTAGATTACATGGCATACCAAAGGTGACTGTACGAACAAAGATGACAGATTTATATCTAGATATGAAAGAACATTTATAAAAGATTGACAACTGAATTGCGTCTCAAGATGACATTTCATCCATAGATTGATGGCTCGTAAGAAAGGATAATTCATGCATTACAAGATTTTTTGGAATTATCTGTTTTGGATGTTTGCAGTAGCTTAGAGGATCATGTTCCAATAATGGAGTTCGATATTAGCAAAAGTTACCAATTAAATATTAAGATACACCTTGGGAGGCACTATTTTTTTTTTTTTTTGAGAAGATGCATATAGCAATTTTATTGAAAAAAGCAAATTACAAGATTTAAGTGATAGCTACTCTATCACCTTCCTCCTTTAATAAAGAAATAAAATTAGGAGGAATATTATTACAAGACAAATCGTCCCAAAAAAATCTATAGAACAAGCAATGTTAACACAACAATCGGCTAACTTATTACCATCTCTACCAATACAATGAAATAAAATTTGATTGAATTCCTTTAGAAAAGAGAAATCAATACCTTTGCCGAGATCCAATTTGAACTCCCCTTTATTCACGAAGTTTTGAATAAATTTGATAACATTGTAATTATCACCTTCTATGATAATACCTTTAGCTTCAAACATCCATCCTTGCAAGAAATTCTTCAATGAAAGAATTGAATACAATTCCAGTTGTGAAATATCCCAATGCAAGCAAGAGGAGCCATAAGCACATAAAAATCTTACTTTATAGTCTCTAATGACACCTCCAACACCACCTTTATAAGAATTTAATAGTGAATCATCAACATTAAGCTTGATCCATTCGTGAGGAGGAGGATACCAAAAAGAAGACGGCTTATTTAGCCGGTTAATATCCTAGTAGTCCGAATATACATTAAGCTTAAAGGAGGACATAGCATAGCAAATTGAATTTGCTGCAATAGAAGAAATTCCGTTTTCTTTCTTATCATGAACTAACAAATTTATGCTCTTCCAAGTAAAGAACACAGCTGAGCAATACAAATTAGCCAAAAAAGGATTTGAGCTGGATAATTTAGACAAGATCTTATAAGAATCCTCCAAGTTATAGTTAACTGGAACCTGAAATCCTCAAGAGATTAGCAGTTTTAAAACTTTAATCGGGAATGCACAACCTGTAGCAACATGAGCCGTATCTTCTGCACTTGAACATCCTCTCGGGCATCCATTCCAATCCAATATCCTTCTGTAAAACAGTAAGTCATTAGTTGGAATTGCTTTCAAATTTAATCTCCACCAGAAAGCTTCAACCTGCGGCCAAAGATGGAGTTTTTTAATCAACTTCCAGTTGATGTCTTCCTCAACCATATTAGTATTTTTTCCCATTATCAAAGCCGATAATGACTTGCCCGAAAGCTTAAACATCAATTCTAATTGATCTTCAGTGTTATGTGGATCGGTTGGAACCATGGTAATTAGCTCCACTAGTTGCCGTCAGAAGAAAATTTTCAGCTTTGGGATATCCCAAACTCCTTCAGCAATAAATTCATTAAGGCAATCAGAATTATGATCTAAGCAAGCAATGAATGTAGGCCATTTTTCAAATTTCTTATCTAACAACCAAACATCTTCATTTATATTTATGCTTAGACCATTAGAAATATTCCATCTCACCACATGCTTCAGATGACTAGCTCCATTTAACAGAATTTTCCAAGTTGAAGAAGTAGAGCTATTATATTAATAATTCCAAATTTCTCTACCATATTTGGCAATTAAGGATCTATTAAGGAGAGTTGAAGGATTATTGATGAAGTTCCAAGCAAATTTAGCCCTCAAGGGACCAACTCTTTGAGAAGAAGAAATAACTCCTTGCCCACCATATACTTTGGGTCTACAAATCACATCCCAAGCAACATAATGAAGCCCAAATTCCCCTCCTTGCTTTTGCCATAAAAAATCTCTTCCCATTTTATCAATGTCATTTAAGACCCCCATAGGGACAAGAGAATGAGTAGATACAAAAGTGGTGAGAGAGAAAAAAAAAACAGATTTTAGAAGTAATAACTTCCCAGCAAATGAAATATATTTGTTTCCCTAAATATTTAGTTTACTTGAAGCCTTCTCCAATAAGCTTTGAAAGTCCGCAAATACCAACCTTCTCAATGCCACTTTAATACCAAGATAGCTCATCTTATTGACCACTTTAAATTTTCTGGAAATAGAATTTTTCCTCCTTTTTACAGCTTTCCCAAACAAGATAGCAGATTTTTGGGGATTAATAGTTTGGCCGGACCACATCCCATAATTCTTCAGAATTTTGTCAACTCTCTTTGCACTTTTAATATTAGCTTCTGAAAAAACAATGATATCATCTTCATACTGCAAATGAGTAATTCTTTTTGCATTTGCAGAGATCATAATACCAATATTCTTCCGTCTTTGTGAAAATGCATCCGAGAGTAATTGAGAGCACAAGATAAGTAGATAGGGAGACAAAGGACAACCTTGTCTAAACCCACTTTCTCCTTCTATCCAATTTGAATTGCATCCATTCACCATAATAGAGAATTTCGGTTTTTGAATACATTGTAAAAGCAGATTACTGAAACAAATAGGAAAACCGAATATAGAGAGAACTTGTTCCAAAGTTGACCAGTTCATGCTATCATAAGCTTGTTCCATATCTATTTTAATAGCCATAATACCCTTTCTAGCTTTCGAAAATTTAAATTTGTTGAAAATCTCTTGTGCAAGTAAGATATGGTTGGATAAAGACCGACCTCTAACAAAGGCCGCTTGCTCTTTAGAAATAATTTTAGGGAAAAAACTTTTCATTCTATTTAACAACATTTTAGCCACAATCTTATAGATTGAATGGCAAAGGCTAATAGGTCTATAATGAGCAGGGTAGACCGGGTTGTCCTTCTTAGGAAGGAGAATAACTAAAGTATTTTTCCATTCATCACACATATTTCCAGATTTGAAAAAAAGACTAATGGCATCCCAAACATCAATCATAATAATATGCCAATAAGATTTAATAAAGGTATAGGAAATACCATCCACTCTGGGAGAGATATTAGCTTCCAGATTTTTGATAATTAGATCCAGTTCATTTTTGGAGAAATCGGCTGACAGCATATTCTTTTCATCATCTCCTAGCACATAAGGTCTCGGCCAGTTATTTAAGTTGCAATTTCTGTACTTCCATTTTTCCTTGAACAACTGAAAGAAAGTGTGTTTAATCATCTTTTGGTCTTCAACTAACGTGCCATCAATTTCCTTGATTTGATGAATCCAGTTTCCACTTTGTCTAGCAGACGCATAGGCATGAAAAAATTTAGTATTTGTATCTCCTTCCTTTGCCCATTTAACCTTTGCTCTTTGATTCCACCATGTATTCAGCCTTCCAAGAGTCAAGTTAAGCTCAAACACTTTAGCTTTGAGTAAAGCTAATTTAAATTATGAAAGACCACCATCCACCTCCTCTTCAATCTGTAAATCATAAATTTCTTTTTTAAGTTGCTCCTTCAAAGTGTTGAGTTCAATGTGCTTTGCTTTACTCCAGAAGAAAACCTCCCTCATGGCACTCTTAAATTTAAGATTAAGGCATTGGAAGGCATCCCCACCGGTTTTCTTATTCCATGAATTAGCCACAATCTAGTAAGCAACAGGATACGAAGTCCAGACATCTTCAAACCTCATCAATTTTTTTTTAACAGGAGAGGAAGAAATATTAATTACAATCGGATAGTGATACGAAGCAATTTTAGCTAGGTGACGAACCACCGGAATTTGAATAGATTCCAAAGCTGAAGAGTTTAACAAGCAACGGTCCAATCTTTCAAAGATATGACCACCTCCTTTTTTGTTGTTACACCAAGTGTACTTTGGACTAATCACCCCAATGTTATGGAAATCACCTTGATTCATAAATGCACAGATATCTTGTGCACCTTGATTTAACACAAATTTCTTCCCTCCCATTTTATCATTTTGTGTCAATAGACAATTAAAATCGCCTCTTATGATAAACGGAAACTCTATATCAGAGAATGATCCCAAATCTTTCCATAGCAGCCTTCTCTTGTAAATGTCATTACTACCATATACAGGAGCCACTAACCACCTCTTCTTATTAGACAAAGTTAATTCACCAATAACAGTTTGTGATGAAGATTTCAATACAGTAAAGGAGGCAATTAAAGAATTCCATAGGATCAACATACCTCCAGAAAGTTCAACCGAGGGAACTATAAAAAAATCCCAACTATTGCCAATCAATTGACCAACTTCTACTTTAGAAATAGAAGTGATTTTAGTCTCCAATAATCCCATGAAAAAAATATCAAAGTTTTTAATAATTTCCTTCAAATAGTGAGAGGCGTCTTTCTTCCTAATCCCCCTACAGTTCCAAAACGTTATTGAAAGACATTTGGTATTAGAAATGAGATTGCTCCCCTTCCTAACTCTTCTTCCCATCTCCTCCTTTTTGTTCTTCATCAGTAAATTATGATTTTCCAAAGATTTAAGCTCTTTTTGGAGCTTAAATTTCAACATAGAAGATTCACCATCACTTTTTTTAACATCAACATCTGAATTTTTATCAAGAATACCAGAGATAAATTCTGCCTCCTCTAGCTCATTATTAAACAGCCGTAGCAGCCTCCTTCAACAGATCCTCCTTATTGTTATCCAGAATCCCAAACTTGTTAGAAACCACTGTTTCAGTTTCAGACCTGTTTGTTGTTACCGGATCAGACACCTTTGACTTCAAATAGATCTTGGACGAAGAAGAAAGCTCTTTAGACACTAAATTTCCTTCACCTTCAATGCAATTCTCAAGTTAAGTTCCCACAGCAACCGAAACCAAATTGTTAGCAATAGCAGTTTCAGGATCTTTAATGACCGGTTTATAAATTTTGACAGTATTAGAAATCGGTCTCTGTATCTTGCCAATCTGCGAAGATCTGTTCCTGTTATTAGAAACCTTCTTCCTTTTCATATTGTCAACTAAAATCCAGGGTTCATATGAGCAATCTTCTTTATTCTCCTCATTACAAACCAACTTCAAGTTCTGGTGAATCACATTGTCTTGAGTTTGATCATCTTTGGATGGAGCAACATTACAAGCCACTTTACACTCATCATCCGAGTGTCCAATCATTCCACACTTGAAGCACAAAGTAGAAATTTTTTCATATTCTACTTTTTGAAAGAAACGGCCATCAAGACCATCCACCCAAATTCCAAGAGGAAATTTTTTATCAAGTGGCATACAAACACAAACTCTTGCATATGTCCTCTTATTCCATTGAAACATGTTGCCATCAATCCACAAAGGAGTGCCAATCATTGATGCAATTCTTGCCACATTATCCTCATCCCAACAAAGCAAAGGTAGATGTGGCATTCTAACCCATATAGGAGAGGTTAATCCTTTCAACGAGGAAGGTGAAAATGATGAATTTTACTTATCAATTCCTACTATGTGACCATTAACGAACCATGGTCCTCCTTCAAGCACTCTTTCTACCTCTTCCAAAGATAGGAAAGTGCAAAGCACCCAACCAAAACCAAGAGTAGTGATGTGAAATTTCCCAAATTGTTGCCACTGGCGACGAAGCTCCGTAGCCACCACATAGAAAGGAACCTCTTTTCTAAATACTTTGACCACAACAGAGAATTGTAATTCCTCAACATTGGCTTTGACTTTAGAGTCAATCAATTTAACAGCCAATCCATCATCCAATAAGAAGTTTTGATCACTAGCTAGATTGACCTTAATATTAGGCCTTTTATTCCAAGGATTGAAAATTGGATTCCCAAAATCAACCAATTTTCCTTTTTGAACATTGTTCATTACCAAATCTTCCTTCGCATAACTACAAACAGGTTCCAAGTTCTCTTTCAAACCACTAGGATAATCATGATTCATTGCAGAGGCTTTCGGTAGATTATTCCCAAATCTATTAACATAGATTTTCATGCCAGATGTCTGTATCAATCTTCTTGTTAGGAGTGGAAAGAAAGAGATATTCATTCACTATTTGTTTTCCCTTCCCTATTACAGGTGAAGTTTTCTTCACAGGAACGATGGTCGATTCACAGATCTTCAACGGACGAAACTTATCCGACTTCGCAAAAATAGAAACGTCTGGGCTTTGATCGACGATTGATCTCTGGCGACCCTTAGTAGCCGCTGTTGCCTCCTCCGGCATAGCAGAAATCCTGCCAAACCAGTGGAAATCAGAATTTTGAAAACAAAATTCTTAACTGCCGCACAGCTTAAGCACCCAAGAGAATGAACGCTAATATAAATCAAAGTGTTAATAGGACATCATTTGATTGATGAAGCTTTGTAAAAAATCATTGTAAACAAAAGCAAATTTAAAGCCTCTCAAGATCATCAATAGATATATTATGACGCAAAGCACAAAATAATAAAATTTAAAGGTGCTAATTTTGTATTTTTGAAAGTTGGACCTAAAACTTGATTTGGCTAAAGAGGTAAATTGATCTAGATACATAGGATCCTTGAAAATAATAAAAAAGGTTGATAAAGTTGCTTACGAATTAGCATTATCAGTAATCTATCTATGATGTAAATAATATTTTTTGTGTCAATATTGAGGAAATTGGTAACAACAACAACAAGTCTTTATCTTACTACATGGGGTCGGCTATTTGAATCCTTTTTCTCTATTGTGTCTTGTTAAAGGTCAAATTCTCATTTAAATCTAATAAAGAAATATCATTTCTAATATTTTATATCCAATTCTTTTTAGATCTTCCTCTACTTTTCTTAACATAAGTCAAATCTAATACCTCTATTTTCTTAACCGGGTCATTGTAAGGCTGTCGTTTTATGTGACCAAACCATCTAAGGCGACTCTCTCTAGTCTTATCTTCCACTGGAGCTGCTCCAACCTTTTCAAGTATATGCTCATATTGTATCCTATCTCTAAGGGTAAAGCCACTCATCCACCTGAGCTTCCTCATCTTTGCAACACTTTTATGCTTCTCTCTTATTGGCCAACATTCGACGCCATAAAGCATTGCAGGTCTCACCACCATCTTATAGAATTTTCCCTTATGTTTGAGGGGGACTTTTCTATCACATAACAAGCCTGAAGCATTACTCTACTTCAACCATCCCACTTGAATTTTGCTGATAATATCCCCATCGATTTTCACCATTACTCTGAACAATAAATCCAAGATATAAAAAATGTGTACTTTTATTAATGACTTGATCGCCCAAAGTCACAATCTTCTCACTAGGTCTATTACTACTAAAATTAAACTATATATATTTAGTTTTAGATCTACTCAAGCGAAAACCATTAAACTCTAAGGTTGATCTCCTTCATTCAAGTTTATCTTCAACTCCCTCTCTAGTCTTATCAATAAGAAGAATATCATCAGCAAAAAGCATACACCAAGGTACATCCTCTTGTAAATGGAAAAAATATATGAGCTTAAAGTTAATCCTTTATGTAATCCAATCGAAATAGGAAAATACTTGGTCAAACCATCTTGTGTTTGAATACAAGTAATAGCTCTTGTATACATATCTTTAATGATTTGAATATAAGAATTATTAACTCCTTTCTTTTCAAGAACTCTCCATAACACTTCTCTTGGAACTTTATCATATGCTTTCTCTGAATCAATAAATATCATATGTAGATCCTCCTTATTCTCTCAATATTTCTCATGCAAATATCTCAATAAATGTATGGCTTCCATAGTAGACCTACCCGGCATTAATCCAAATTAATTTTGAGAAACATTAGTATCACGCTTCAACCTACGCTCCATAACTCGCTCCCATAATTTTAAAGTATGACACATTAACTTAATTTCTCTATAATTCGCAGAATCTTGTGCATCACCTTTATTCTTAAAAATAGGAATTCACACACTCATTCTTCACTCATCTGGCATCTTTTGTCTTCAAAACGAATTAAAAAGTTTAGTAAGCCAAGAAATTCCTTAATCTCCTAAGCTCTTCCACACCTCTATTGGAATATCATAAGGTCCAATAGCTTTTCCACATTTTATTTTCTTTAAAGCTTCTCTAACATCATTTTTACTAATACATCGGTAAAAACATAATTTTTTTTTCATTTAGGGTGCTAAGGTCTTTAAAGTCAATCACATTCTCATAATTTTCTTTGTAAAGTTTAGCAAAATATCTCATCCATCTTTGTTGAATATCATCTTCTAAGAAAGAACTTTTTGATTTTCATCCTTGATACACTTCACTTGAACTAAAACCTTACTACTCATATCTCTTTATTTGGCTAACTTATATATATATATATAGTATATTTTTGCCTCCTTAGTGTTTAATCTATTATATAAATCATTAAAAGCTAAAATATGTGGGCTCCGAAAATTCATCGCCAGGAGTCCCCGCGCTCACTTTGTTGCTTTCTCAGGGGGAGTTTTAACAAATTAAATTCCAAGGGAAATTTTAGGAAGGCAGATTCGGTTTGAAATAAGACACTTCCAGATATTTCGCCTCATTTTGTGAGGGCTTTATGATCTGAGTTATGGTTTCCTATAGGCGCAAGCCCCTATAATTAATTAGCCCTCCCGATGACGAAAGAGAACTTTCGATTAAGGCTAGTTTTTGATGAATACGTCATATCCCTGGTCTACTTTGTCAGAGGAGGTAGTCGACCCAATTTGATAGAAGGATCCTTGTCAGCAGGCATGAGTTGTGTTGTCTAAAGGTACCTTGTACACCAAACGTCGATGTTTGTCTAATCAGACATTTAAATCCACCTTATTTGACATAGGTCTTTGTGCCTTATCGATTATATCCTATTGATTCATTACTTAATGACTTGACACCATCGGGGAGCATACGGGCACTGACAATTACCGTAATATAGTGGTGCCATTTCATAGCGAACCACCCGGTTCAGAGGGTTTCGGTCATAACCGTTTACCATTGGTGCCATTTGGCGGCATAACCGTATATATGGTGTCATTTGACTGCAAAATCACCGGTTAGAGGACACATGCCACATCTTTACTTACAAGAGATATATTGAGAATGGATCTTAGTGATATTCACGACTAGACATTAGCTTTTTGTGAGTTGGCGTAGCTTTCAGATTTTTTCACCTCAGCAAACTATTGCGGAGAGTGGAATGTATTTAAGCTTTAAGTGGTTGATGATTAGTTTCATTTTTAAATATCTGAATTTTTGT